TGATCGAGGTCGAGTTGTTCGATGTTTGGGGGATTGACTTCATGGGTCCGTTCCCTACCTCATGTGGAAACCGGTATATATTACTTGCTGTTGAGTATGTCTCTCGTTGGGTGGAGGCAATTCCCTCGAGCACCAATGATGCCGCTGTTGTTCTCAAGTTTCTGAAGAAAAATATTTTCACACGGTTTGGGACCCCGAGAGCCTTGATCAGTGATGGGGGTTCTCACTTTGTGAATAAATTAATGGAGAAGCTTCTTTCGAAATATGGCGTCAAGCATAAAGTGGCCTTAGCCTATCATCCGCAAGCGAATGGGCAAGCAGAGGTGGCGAACCGAGAAATCAAGCATATATTGGAGAAAACGGTGAGCACAAATCGGAAGGATTGGTCGTTGAAGCTCGATGACGCACTTTGGGCCTATCGCACGGCCTATAAGACACCACTGGGATCATCTCCATACAGGCTTGTTTTTGGTAAGTCGTGTCATCTTTCGGTTGAGTTAGAGCATCGAGCTATGTGGGCAGTGAAGAAGATAAACTTTGATTTTTACGAGGCGGAAAAAAAAAGGCTTCTTAAACTTAATGAGTTGGAGGAATGGCGAGATGATTGTTATGAGAATTCGAGGATTTACAAGGAGCGAACGAAAAGGTGGCATAACCGGATGATCCATAAGAGAGAATTTTTTCCGGGAGAACAAGTCCTTTTGTTTAATTCACGATTGAAGTTATTCCCGGGAAAATTGAAGTCGAGATGGTCGGGGCCTTTTGTGATTAAGAAGGTGTTACCACCGGGAACAGTTGAATTGGTTGCACGAGACGGCGAGACCTTTATAGTTAACGGACAACGGATCAAGCACTACTTTCATTCGTACCAACATGAGAAGTTGTCCTACATCACTTTGAAGGAGCCGTGATTCTTACAGGTGTCTGGCTGAAGACGTTAAACTTAGCGCTAGTTGGGAGGCAACCCAACGGTTTTATTGCTTTCTTTTTATTTATTGTAGGATAGTTTTGTTTGTTTTTAATTATTAAAAGAAAAAAATATGCCCAGGTGCGTGACACGGCCTCGAACACGGCCATTTTGGCCGTGTCACGAGCCGTGTCACGATAACAGCAAATTAAAGCCTCAGAACCTGCGACACGGGTCCTGACACGGCCAATTTGTTCGTGTCACGACAAGGTCCAGGTTTGCGAAACGGTCGGAGACACGGGTGCTGTGACCGTGTCACGGCCCGTGTCGCGTCAACAGCCCTTTAAAAAACATAACCCCTCTTCATTTTAACTTACAAATTTTCGATCCCTTTTCTTTCCTAACCCTAGAACCGGAATCCTTTTGCTTAATTTGCAAGATAGAAGCACTCTTTTACTCAAATTTGCCTCATAATCGTTCACTTGCATCAACAAGTCCATAATTGTGCCATTGTTTCTCTCTTTTTTGAACTCAAGGTAAGAGTTCGAACTCCTTTTGTAGGTATGCTCGGATTTGTCTTTATTCTCACGAATTTGATGTGTGATTGTGCTTGTTTTCTATCTTGATGTGGATTATTGTGTTGATTGATGTTATGGTGTGCTTGCATGTTGATATTGTTGAACTTGGTTGAAGAACTTTGTTGGAGCAAATTATCGAACACATGGTGGACACCTTTGAAATTGAGTTTCTTGTTGATATGTGCTTGAATTGTGATTTGCTCCTAGTCCTTTGATATGATGCTTTGATGGATAATTGAGTTGCTTAGATGATAATTGAAGGAATTTTGTAGCATTAGGGCACTCTTTTTGATAGGGATGGTATTGATGTTATATTGTGATGATATTCTTTGTGATTGAATGGGTATTAATTATTTTACTCAGGACATAATGAATCGTGGAGGTAGAAACTCGGGTGGAGGTAGAGGACGAGCAAGGGGTTCGGACGCCAATGTTATACCGGGGCGGCTATACAACCGTCAACCTTTAGCGTTCGATTGAAGACGGATGAGGAAAA